TTTGGGATGAGGATGGCACCTCTGGCTTTAGGTTAGCAGTGGTTAGCACTTTCTTTTTGCTATGACTTGTCATGTGACTTGTCATGTGGCTTGTGATGTTTTCAGTGGCGCACGGCCTATCCAGCTGCATTTCCCAGCATGTCAGCCATTCAGCTCTTGGCCAGGAGCGCTTGGGTCCAGTACTACTAGCGGCCAGCGAAGTCAAAGCTGGGGCCTGGGTGAAAACACGAAGCGTGACTGTAGCTTTCCGGGAAAAACAATGTGAACAAACATTGCCCTTTCCAGCTTTCGCTGTTTGACGTCGAATCCTAAAGTAAAGCTGGGTTCCTCCCAGCCTTGGCAGTGAGGCCTTTGAGCTCTTGCGGCCATTGCTGCAAGAGGAGGATCAGTCCAGACGGGCGAGGCAGGTGGTACATGAGTGAAGATCAGTCCCAATGTGGTACAACCCAAGGTATTGCAAGGTTCCTTGGAAGTCTTTCGTTGTAGGATGTTCAAAGACCTGCTCATTAAGTGGCATCCAGACAACAGCCAGGTGCAGCTACGGTGCGCAGTCGGTACTGGGGTTGAGTCGCAGCATGTTGTGTTAAGTTGTAGCGTTTGAGCGTCTGCCTTGCAGGAATGGATGTTGCTCACCATGATTTCATCGAAAAAAAGTCTAACTGATCCGTTTTTAGTTCGGATCAGTGTCTGTCCCCTGGTGCTTCCCCTTGAGCCCTTGAGCTTCAGAAAGATAGAGATGTTATATAGTATGCAACATCGTGATGTCTGTCATTTCTTATCATGTATGTCTTCTATAGGTTAGTTGTTGAAACACCATGGGATTTCTTGCTGACTCAACTTTGGACACCTTTCTAAACCTGCTTTGGTTGGTGTTGCTTGTTCTTAAAGCGGGATGCTATCGCCACTGCATCCTCCCACTTGTCAGTCCTGCTTGTCCGTGAGGTGGCGACGGCTGTTTTCCAATATCTGCAAAAAAGGCGAGGAGATTGACATGTGGGAACAGAAGATGGCATGTCAATCTCATGTCATAGAGCCCTGCGCGACATTTTGTTGCCAACATCCCTGCTCCCTTGCAGGGAAAGATTTGGTCCTTTGAGTCTGTTCCTTAGCAAATTTGCTCCCAACCGTGCATGTCTTCAACGTCTAATGTATTGGTTGTTTTTTGCCCATGGGCACCCCAAGAGTGGAACAAGGCTATTGCAGATCACTCCTGCCTAAATCTCGTGCGCCGGAGCAAAGCGAGAATGGAAGAAACAACTTTGCCACCTCTGGACCAAAACCCCTTGGTGGGTTGAACTGGATCAATTTTAGCAGCTCAAAAAATCATTGTGTTCATGAAATCAGTCTACATGACTTGCTTTGCAACCCTACAGACCGTCATTTCCAAATTGAATCCCTTTGAAACCAGTGACTTTCAATCACAGACTTAGCTTTCCTTTCAGCAATGGGCGGCTGTTACCGTGAGTTTGAAAAGGAGGCCGAGCAAGCAAGTTATGGACTGGCTGGACGAAAACTGAACTTCATCAAATCTTGCATATTTTTTTGATACCGCTTTGATTAACCGATTGGCTGATGCAAAACCCGCTTGAACCAATGATAGCATCAGGGGTGAACTGGAAAGTTGGTTGGCTGCACGTGGTCATATATTTTTATTCTCAGCACCGGTTTTTGGGCACATCAGTAGATCAGTATAGCAGTAATTGTATATATATATATATATATAATATGCTGATACAATTCCTGATATACGAGTAAATATTTTAAATTATATCTGGGTGGTTTACTTGTATACTGGTAACCGGTATTAAATATAAATAAAGAAATATATATATATATTGTTATGTCATATTTGTATGGTTGTATCAGAGTATCACGTTGCGTACTCGTTCCTCTCGAATATCTCAGACTTCGGATCAGCATTGTAACCCTCTGGTAATTTAACATAGCTATGGGAAATCATGGTTTTTCATAGGTAGTTCACCTATCAACGGGCCTTTTTCCAAAGCTACGCCAAATTCCCGTGGTTGAAAACACCTGCGTTTGTTGGTCAGGCAGCCACCAATTATCACCATCCCGGAGGGAAATCTTCAGTCTCCTGGGTGAAAACTCACTAGATGACATCACATTTTAGAAGAAAAATCTTTACCTTCCCAAACAGTTAAAATGCACAGGTTGATGAGTTATAAATTTTCAACCGCAATGTGGCTATAGGTCAAAATCGGGCACCGAAAATTCGATGGGGTAGCTCCTAGAAGTGAACAATCCATCATTTTGCAGGCCTATAAAATTTTGACCCGTACAAGGTGGTGCCTAGTAGTTAGCTGAGTTAAATAGGGTTTGCGGGTAATTTTTCACCCAAAACCAATAAACATATTTGTGGAGCAGCGCCAAACGTGGCCATTTGATCACGTACTTCAAGATGGCTGTGCTTTGCCGGCAGAGAGCCCAGGTGGTGAAGACTCATTTGGTTGGCTGGTTCAAGAAACAGCTCGAACAGCTCCAGGTGTCGAGTCGCCGCAGCATCCATCGATTTTTATTTGGGTGATCTGTGGGAATGGGTACAATGGTCAACATTTAAAACACAGGGGGCTACAGATTTAGTTTGTTTTTAGTATTAACCATCTAAGTATTAGGGTATCCAATTTTGACGCATAACCCTGTAAAATTTACCAAGAAACCACCGGGATTTTAACGCCGATCTGGTTTGGTTTTGCTCGCCAAGGCCTATCAACCACGTCCCGGAATCGAAAATTGTTATATAATATCATATAATAACCTCGTTGATTCCTTTGGTTATCCCTTTAAAATTGTGGGACAGCTAAGAATGGATTCTCTTTGCTTGAGCAGTTTTCAATTTTGTCCAGCATGAAGGGATTCTGGCAATGTTGGTCCACCATGTCCGTTGGAGAAAACACGTCCTAAACCTGGGACGGATCCATGGAAAAAAATGTGGTTTCCTGAACTCGACTAGGTCCAGTTGTTTGAAATTCCCCCAAAAAAATCGAATGGGTTTATGATAGCCCATACCATCCATCTAGGGTCTATAATCATCCTCAAGTAGATGGATCAACATTTCAACAATCTGGATTTTTGTAAGAATGTTGTGAAACATCCATATCAAATCCAGGATGCCTATACCTAAATTGGTGAGGATTATTCGGGCCCATGATTTAAAGACTGCTGCAACTCCCTAGTGACGTCAATGGCCATTTCAAGGACCGATTCATTGGAGGTACCTACCATATAAAAGGCCCGTGTTTTTGGGTTATTTTTCAGGGAATATCCCCACATATTGCCTGACATAGTACAGTCAGTAGCTCCATTTTTAGGTCATGCAATTCCCACTACTATGGATGTTTAAGATCCCTATGATGTACTTGTTTCAAGAACATCATACGTATCAAGTTGGTGCAATATATGCCATTATATCATATATGTATGACAATTTTCTCCCATTTTCCCTGGTTATACCCCTATGTTTGTTGGTTATTTCATGTCATGTCTCTCTAGTTTTGAACCATTCCTGAATCCGAATTGTTGTTGCAAAAATATTTCTTCCCATGATATCTCATTATACGTATTATATTTGTATATTCCCAATGTTTGGTCGCGTACCCCATTCTATCTGATATTGTTTTGTGACGCAGGTCTTCGAAAAAGGCGTGCAGGAAGGGCTCAGCAGTTCGAGCTGCTCCTGCGCGGTTAAGGCGGCCGTTTTTGGCGAAGCAGGGTGAACCTTGGGATGGGTAGTTGCTAAATCATGTTTAATATATTCATGAAATGTTTGACAATAAAACATGAAAACTAATATTTTTGTGTTGCCAAATCATGTTCAACCTCCGTTAATCAAACATGGCGTGCTAAACCTCCATACTTTGATCTGCCATCTTGGCGGCTGTCAAGTGGCGAATGTGTGGATGATGTTGCTATGGTTACCTGAAGTGTAGCAAAACCGGAATGGGGATGGGGACATAATACGACAATGGTGGTATTGACAGTGGCATGGGATAAACAAAACCATCATCATCATCATCATCATCATCATCATCATCATCGTCATCGTCATCGTCATCGTCATCGTCATCATCATCATCATCATCATCATCATCATCACCATCACCAATAACATTATAATACATTATCCTCCTACTCCCCCCACACTGTTTGGGGTCTCTTGCCCGGATAATTCTATGTTTTGGCGTCGTTTTTTCTATCTTCGTCAGAACATGTGCAGTGCCGCAGGTGAATGCGCAACAACTGAAAGCATTGGAGGCCGAGGTGCCCTTCGGACATCGTCACATTGGTTTCTGCAAGGATCGGTGGATTTTTCAATGAGTTGTTGTTGTATACATTTGTATTGTATATCAAAAGACATCCAACAATGAGGTTGTCTTAAGTGTGAAAAAATGTCGCATATCAATGCATTACTAAGAGACAGTAGTGAAGGATATGAAACACCAGGGGACAAACTCATTGCTAGCACTAGCACAAAACTTTGACATATCATGTAATTCTATCTATCTATCGATCTAATCTAATCTAATCTAATCCAATCCAATCCAATCCAATCCAATCTAATCTAATCTAATCTAACTTAACTATCTATCTATCTATCTACCTATCTATCTGTCTATCTATCTGTCTATCTATCTATCTACCTATCTATCTGTCTATCTATCTATCTACCTATCCAAATATATACATGGTATAAATACGGTATAAACAAAACACAAATACATAAATAGGTACAAACAATGAACACATAGATATAAGCAAATACATGAACAAAATAGTAAATGAACAAATAAATAGGTAGATAAACGAATAAATAAATAAACATATTTACATATATTGCAATATAGAAAGACAGAAAGATAGCTAGCTAGCTAGCTAGATAGATGGATAGATGGTATATTTACAAAGGTAGATATTAATATTATATGTCAACCCGTGATATCATCTCCAGCTCTACCCTTGTACCACCGAGTCCATGGCGCCCGATGGGCATCACCTCGCTGAATGTTGCGCCCCTTCTCGACCGGCCCGCGGAGGCGAGAGTTATTTCATTTCCCATGCGTAACCAAAAGTGCCTTAATGGGTTAATGGTGAATAAGGCACTGGTTAACCACTATTCACCATTAAGTTATATTAACCACTATTCACCATTCATCATGTTAACCACCAATAGAATTTCCCATGCCTTAATGGTTAGTGGTTAATAATGATGAATGGTGATTCTGATTGGTGGTGACTGGAACATGGCTGGATCTTGGATGACTTTCCAGAAACAGTAATGGAATCATCATCCCAACTGACTACTGTTTTATATTTTTCAGAGGGGTAGGGCTCAACCACCAACCAGGTAATATTGGTCAATAATGATTAGCATTCGTGACATGATGATGAAACAATGGTTCCCCAAAATGGTTACTAATGGTTGATCATGAATAATCATGATTGACTATGGTTCATATGGCTACAACTATGGTTTATATGCGAAATCTATCAACCAAGTAGTATTGAGATGGGAAAACCGGGTATCTGTAATGGCTCAAATGGTTTTGGTGCCTGAAAATCATACAAGGCGGGGCCCCCTAGTTATGTTTGTAGGTGTAGAACCTCCATACCTCCATACCTACGATAGTTATGCCTCCCATAAACCCTAGTTTAACAAATTGTAAACCAACTTAGCTCTTTAGGGCTCCCCATTTTTCCTTTGCCGTAATTGGGGGTACCCTCTGTCCAGACGGTTTCCCAGCTAGAAAACTTCCATGTATAGGGGATTTCCCGTTGCCACATTTGATTGCCGGAGGGTATTTACAATCTATACTGTATGGATAGCTATGGTTAGTATGTTTACGTATATATTATATACACATATCTATGAACATAGCGATATCGTTCATTTTTTGATGACTACATGCATTTTTCCCCTGAAACCATCGATCTGCAGAAATTAGAACTCTGAAACTATATCATAAAGGGATTTGCCTTTTGGTAATTCAATCGTTTGCTACGGACCCGCAGGACCAACGCTGGCGACCAGCCAAAGGGGCACCTGAAGTGCCGCAGGTGCCAAAGCCAGGGCCACGTTGGTCGATAAAATATGGGAACAAATATGGGAAAATATGGGACATCATATACAAAAAATGAAGATTTTAATGGGAAAATCATCGATGGGAAATCAACCAATGGATTCATACCCAGAAAAGATAGGCTTTGGCAAAATCCAACTGAAAGGGTGGTAAATTGAAGCTTTTCTATGTTTTTGGATATAGGGGGGAAACAACACTTATTTGGAATTATTTGGAACCATCGAATGGGGCTCTCTAATTTTAGGGGGATGGGCTTAGTAGCTCCAAAGAAGATGGATTTTGCTGAAATCCATTTCTGTGAAATAGTGATACATCATGATATGTTTTCCTTTTTTTGGAGGTTATAATTTATGTTGTATGGCTATGATGCTGCTTTTCTTGGAGAACCCCTAAAACTCCAAGAAGATTAGATATAGGTCCATTTTTCGCTAGACAAATCAAGAGGTTGGAATTCTTTGATTCATGATTTCAGAAAGACCATTCTGAATACCTCCATCACCATCTCATCCCAACTTGGTTTCACCTCTCTGTTTTGGTGGATCCCCGGCCCGGCCCGAAACACGTTCCCCCAGGAGAAACTTGAGCGTGCTCGAGGTGCGGTGGGTGATCAGTGCGCGGAACCTCAGAGTTCGAAGTCTCGGGTCTGCGCGGCCGACCTCACGACGAGCTCAGGATGAAGATTATGCTTAATAGGAGGCATCATTTTCAGAGAGAACATAGAAAAACAATGTTTTGTGAATTGCCCTAAGGTAAACTCATGAAGATGTGGAAAACCTTTGGGAAACCCCTAGGCCCAGTGGAAAATCATCTAGAAATTGTTGATTTTCCCACTGGGTAAATAGTTTGGTAATATATCTACCAGAGTCATCAGTAATTCTACCCCCCAGGCCGGGAGTGTTGCCAGAAAGTTCATCATGTGACCAACTGTTTAAAGTTATTTAGGGTTTGTTTAAGGATTGTTTAGGGTTTGCTTAAGGTTCATTTCGGGTTTCATTTTGGGTTTTTAGTTTTTTTTAAAATAAGATTTTACTTTCAAGGCGTACTTAGGGTTTCATGTTAGATTTAGGTTTTGGGGTTTAGGATTTAGGGTTTAGGGTTTCGTGTTTTGGAAACCAATCTCGTCATCCATCTGGGGAGATGGACGACATCCCGAATCTCATAAAACACTGGCCCTGCGCAGTCAAAACGCACTTCCCCGGGCAGCACACCCGTCCTGGCCGTAATTCTACTATCTGGTTTGCGACTGATTGTTGAAGATGGGGGTGGCTCGTTCGCCTGCGAAAAGCGGGAGGGACCATCGAAAGGTGGAATTGTGAGCATGCTCTCAAACAAGAACAGAATAGATGATGTTGGAATATGGGCGTGTGTCTGAAAATGGGGTATACATCCCAAATGGCAAGTTTGACAGGGAAATACATGACTAACCGTGGATTTACCCTGGTAACCCGGTTTTCAGACAACCCCACATGAGTTGCAACGTTGAACTACAGATTGATGAGCTCTTTCATAAGGTAGTTCTTGAATGTTCTTGATAGGGGTTGGATTTGATCTTGCCCTTTCATTGGCATAAAGGAACATCCACATACTTCGGGGTCAGGATGTTTTTGGCGGGGATGATCCTTCCAGGAAGTATCCCCTTATAATTAACAGAGTGGATGCTGCAATTGGATTGTAATACTGTGACCCATGTAATCATTATTGGATTAAAGTCCCTTATACTTACCCTTGGTATAGACTGATTCTTATTATGATCCCTTTGCATTATACTAGTACACCTGATACTTATTCCTCATGACATGTGTAGTAGTGAAAGCCCGGTGGGGTCTTCATCCTTGAGGCATGAACGCTCGCGTTCCTGGCTACACGGGCTTTATTCCCTCTGCCAAAGCGGAGGCAACAAAGGGTTTGAAGCCACAGGTGGGGCCTAGGGCGGCCATGAAGAACTTCGGATGGGATCAGAACGGCCAGAAGACATTAGTGGATGGAGGTCATGTAGGGACTTGAAATGACTTGATCTTGCAGCCAGTGGCTGGCATTTTCATACATCTCACACTCACTTCATGGAAGACAGCAACATGTTTTCGGTCAAAAAAAATTCGACCAAATCACTCAAATGTAATTTACTCTATGGAAGGTATTTCAACATACATAACATCACATAAAATCTCCAACGTATCTCCCAAGCGTTTCTGCGAAGACAAATTGACAGGAAATCTATGGCCGAACTCAAGCGGCCGTGGGTGCCGGCGCCAGAGAAGAGCAGCGCGAAAACCTGGAAGAATGGTGGCAAAGGCTACCGCACTTCATTCATTTGAGCCTTCAAAACCTTCAAAAGAGCGGTTTTCACAATAAAATTATGGGGATTTAAATAAGGGTAGAATTAAGTGGATATAACTTATATAACTGATACATGTTGGTTGGTTGATTCTCATGGTTAATGGGGATGGAAAACCAGCAAACGTAATTATGGGGATATCATTGGTAAATGATTGTTGATTGATGATTAGTTCGGGTGTTCTACTACCCTTGATATTTCTTGGGGATCATTACAATCCCTGAGCTGGGAATGCCGTTCTTAACCAACAAGTACAACCGAACGACAGAGAGTTGCTCATGTGTGTTTTTCAATGGGGATTTAAAGTGTAATTTGGTTCATCGAATGGGGATATCATCCGGATATTGGACCTGATTCATCTTTCTGATTAAATTACCCTCTGGTAATTTAACATAGCTATTGAAATTTACCATTTATAGTGGATTTACCCATTGAAAATTGTGATTTTCCATAGTCATGTTAGTTTACCAGAGGGTAATAGGCTATTGATCCAAAAAAATATACATTCTAATGTTGGACTATACCCTCTCTGATATATCGTGTTCAGTAGGGAATATGGCTGTTGAACATGAAACATAGGGGTAGTATAGTCAGCAATGAGTGGGACCTTTGATGGGAATACCATCGGAATGTCATGGGAATATAGCCGGAATATCATGGGTATTACTTGGAGAATTATGAGAATATCATGGGTATATTGATGTGATATTTTTCAAATATTGCCTGGTTATGATTCTAGAAGATGCGGATCATGGTTTCAATTATTTTGTTAATGTTTGATACTAATGCCATACCAGTACCATGGAAATGATCTGGATGAAGAACGACCTGGGACCTCACTGTGATCTCACAGGAGTGTCATTGGATTGGGGTAAGAGTTACCCTAAATGGTCGGACCGCAGGGCGGTGAATTATTTGACCGAGATCTGTAGTCTTCACATGGGTGCTGGACATGATTTTTGAAATATTCATGATGGTTAGACTTTTTTGTGATATTTGCTGACGCCTGGATTATTTTCATCGGGGATGGTTTGATGAGCCATTAAAACTCCCCAACTGTTGATTGGTTATGTTCATCGGGGGTTGTTGTTGTTTTTTGTTGTTGTTAACTTGCCTGGTTTATTGTGGATCATGATACAAGAGACAACCCATTTCACTGGATCAAGCAACCAGTATCATTGGATGGGATATTGTTGAAGGGGCAATTTACGGGACACTCAACAAATTCAGAAGGCCAAATTGGACCATTGCATTTCCCGAACATGTTCCGAGTGCACATCTTTTTCCCAACCTAGTGAATCATCCACATAAACCCTCCGGTAATCAAACGTGGCAATGGACAATTGCCTGTTTATATATGATGTTCCTAGCTATAAACCTCCATTTATAACGGCATTTTTCCAATATTTGCATAACATTTCCATGTTTTCCCCATTGAAACCTCCAATTCCTAGGGCGATTTTCCAGCCACATTGGATTTTTGCGAGGTGGCAGATGGACCAGCGCCGCGCGGCGCTGCATGAATCCCTGCGAGCTTCGTTGCTCGGCGCCAGATAGCCAGATGCCAGATAAGATTATGGGGATGGGATGGGTGAGATAATAGTGGTTAATATATGGGGATTAACTAAGTTAGTGGTTATCTTACCATCTAACTAATGGTGAGATAGACTATATAATGGTTAATGGGATAATTTAAAACTCTCATAATACAACTCTCGTCTAACTTAGTGATAAGAATTGAGGAGATGAATGAGAGTTATTATTTAAGGGCTGCCGCCCCTGCCGCCGACCCCGGAACAAAACACCAGGAACGCGAGTTTTTTTTCCCTTTAGCTTTTCCACACCTATGTAAACGTTTACAAGCGGCTACATGGTCTAGATCTGCCCGGCGTCCGGCATCATGGGCAGATGACCGCCAGGCAGGCTGGAAACTCTGCAGAACTCAGCTGGATTGTTTGAGGTGCTGTATGTAAATATGGCTAACCTCGGATTTGACATGGTATGTATGTATGTATGTATGTAATTGTATGTATATACATAGAATATATATATATATACACATTATTAGCATCATGAGCTTCGTCAGCATCATCATCACCATCTGCAGCTGACCCTTCAAAAACGCGGCTTCCGGCAAGGAAACCCCATGCTACTGAAGGGCGACAGCGACTGCTGCTGCTGCTGCTGTGCCCACAAAGACACGGCCCTCCCGGACGGGGAAACACCATGGCCCTGAAGGACGAACGGAGTCCAAAATATGCGTTTCCCGAGGCCGGAACGTCCCTTCTGAAATCTCCTACAAAAAGCTTGCTAGCTGCTGCTGCTGCTGCTGGTGCAGCTGACCCTTCAAAAAGGCGGCTTCCGGCAAGGAAACCCCATGCTACTGAAGGACGCCGGAAAGACACGGCCCTCCCGGACGGGGCAACACCATGACCCTGAAGGACGAATGGAGTCCAAAATAGGTGTTTCCCGGGGCCGGAACGTCCCTTCTGAAATCTCCTAGAAGCTATACGTTTCTCGATGCTGGCTACTGGGAGCTGCTGCTGCTGCTGCTGCTGGTGCTGGTGCAGCTGACCCTTCAAAAAGGCGGCTTCCGGCAAGGAAACCCCATGCTACTGAAGGGCGACAGCGACTGCTGCTGCTGCTGCTGTGCCCACAAAGACACGGCCCTCCCGGACGGGGAAACACCATGGCCCTGAAGAACGAACGGAATCCAAAATATGCATTTCCCGAGGCCGGAACGTCCCTTCTGAAATCTCCTACAAAAAGCTTGCTAGCTGCTGCTGGTGCAGCTGACCCTTCAAAAAGGCGGCTTCCGGCAAGGAAACCCCATGCTACTGAAGGACGCCGGAACGTCCCTTCTGAAATCTCCTACAAAAGCTTGCTATACGTTTCTGGCTGCTGGCTCGCTGCGAGCTGCTGCACTGCTGCCGTTGCGCTTACTGCTGCGTCTGCTTGTGTCTGCTGCGGCCTACTGATGCCTGCGGCTGCCTGCTGCCTGCTGCTGCCTGCTGCTCCCTGCTGCTGTGCCCACAAAGACACGGCCCTCCCGGACGGGGAAACACCATGGCCCTGAAGGACGAACGGAGTCCAAAATAGACGTTTCCCAGGCCAGAACATCCCTTCTGAAATCTCCTAGAAAAAGCTTGCTATACGTTTCTCGATGCCGGCTACTGGGAGCTGCTGTTGCTGCTGCTGCTGACCCTTCAAAAAGGCGGCTTCCGGCAAGGAAACCCCATGCTACTGAAGGGCGACAGCCACTGCTGCTGCTGCTGCTGTGCCCACAAAAACACGGCCCAGGCGTTTCTCGGGGCCGGAACGTCCCTTCTGAAATCTCCTACA